AGAGTCAAAAACCTCTGAGCATCTGCCCAAGGGCTCTTCAGCAGCCACCACATTTGCATTCATGTGAGAAGGAAATATCTCTTACAATACAGATATTCAATATATATTTGAAGTCAGTTGAGGCTGAGCCAGCCATCGCCTCCACTAACGCCAGACCAGGGCGTGAGCCAGTGCCTGCTTCCTAAGGTCTCGGCCCTGAGGTGCCCCAGCTCAGTCTCCTGGAGATTCTGAGGAGTGACTGCCTGTGTCCTTGCCATCCCTCAGAGAAGAAAAAGGGGACCCCTGCCACAGTCCCTCCACACCAGCTCACGGGGATGATGTGGGCTCCCTGCTTTCAGGCTTGTCGCTTTTGGAGGACTTTGGCTTCAGCAAGATGAACCTGTTGAGGAGGTCGGTGTCCGAGCTGGCCTGGGCGCCTGCATACGCCTCCCCTGGGGACAAAATAGGGTGGGCTCACCTGGTGGGGAAAGCTCTGGGGGTTGGAGGAGCAGCATCTCCTTGGGGTGGGGTGCAGAGACTCACCAGCATAGCTGGAGGACTCGGCCATGTTCTGGGAGCCAGTGATGTGGTGCCAGTAGGCGCTGCGGGGCAGCATGGTCGTGGGGGTGCAGGGGTAGGAGAAGTGCTCAGTGCCTTTGTTCAGCAGCTGCAGTGGATGGTGGGGGAGGAGGGTGACACAGGGCCCCCAGAGTCTCCCCCAGCTGTGTCCCCCCTCAGCATGGGCTGGAGCTCACCCTGACGTTCTTCTCCATCTCCAGCAGGACCTTCTTGTGCTGCTCAGCAATGGCCAATGTGGCGCTGTGCACACGCTGGTAGATCTGCTCACCCTCCTGCGTCTGGAAGGTGTAGAGACCTTCTCCTGCATCACACATCCTGTAGGGACAGGGCACAGCACGTCACCAAGGTCTTCAGGCCAAGGGATGATAAACGAAACCCACCCCAGATGGCAGCTGGTGCAGCTTCCCATACTGTTACAGCTGTGCCTATGTCCTGCCCCCTTCACGGTGTTGATCTGGGACCAGAACCAGCTCCAGGCCCTGCCTGCCATGGGCACACTGTACAGGCCATGGCCATCACCCCAGCCTCAGGCCTGCCCTGTGGTGATGCCAGCAGCGCCACAAGCTGGATGAAGGCACACAGCCATGATCCCTGTCCTGGCAAGGGTGACATCTCACCGTCCAGCCTCGAAGGTGAAGCGGGTGGCGTCGCGGCCGTAGCGGCGCAGGGAGCAGAGGGGCCAGGAGACCAGCTTCACCCGCGGGTTGTGCGTGTCCCAGAGGTAGATGTTTTCGTGGGTGATCTGCAGCTTGCACTCGCCATAAACGTCCAGGTTGGGGCAGGGGAGGAGGAACACGTTGAACCGGTCTGGAGAGGGGAAAAAAATAGAAAATAAAAGAATCTGCTGGGGGTGCAGCGAGGCGGAGCCCCGGGCGAGCACCCGCCGCCGCGCTCACCCGTCTGCTCGCACTGCACGCCGGGCGCCAGCAGGTCGGGCTCCCCCAGGCTGATGTCGTTCAGGCGGGCGCCCAGGCACTCCACCGACAGCGTCTTGTACCACTCCTCCGCCTCCAGCTCTGCAAGGCACCACGGCAGCCCCTGGGCGACCCTGGCCACGCTGGGGTGCCCCACCCAGCACCCCCAGCCCGGCTGCCCTGGGCGCTGCCCCGTACCTGAGTCGCAGGTGAAGGTCCGGGCGGAGTCGTCGGTAAAAACGATGGCCACCGCCTGTCTCTTGGTCTCCTTGGGCAGCCGCGTGATGCACTTGACATTGCTGATCTCGGTGACCTGCAGAGGAGTTGGAGGGTCACCGAGGGCTGATCCCAGACCGTGTTCCCAGCTGCTCCCAGACCCTGACACCTGTAGCACCCAGACCCAGCTGCATCCCCCTCCAGAGCGCATGGGGTGGCAGCCACCCGGCGAGTTTAGGCAAGGAAGGACCTGCTCTGGCACAGGTCCCCAAGCAGCGGGCAGCACCCCAGCACCCCTCCAGCACCCCCCCTCACCTTGGGGCACCCCCGCAGGCACGCCGACTTCTCATCCGGGTATTTCTCCAGGCGCTGGGGCCCTTTGCTGGAGGATTTGCGGAAGACCAGCCAGCACCGGCGGTAGATCTGCCGGACAGAGAGCGCGGCGGCGGCTTGGTGCAAGTGGGCGTCCCCGGCCCCCTGTCCCCACCGCATCCCCCGTCCCCATCCCCAGGACCCGTGCCTGGTTCGGCTGACCCTGCTGGCCTGGGGACAGGAGGGGATGCTGGGGATAGGGGTTTGCCGGGGCTGCTATCATCTGCCCCCGCCAGTGCTAATTACAGAGCTTAATTAATGAACACAGACAAAGCTCCCAAGGGGACCGCTGTTCTGGCATTTCCCAGTCCCCCCTTCTACATTCCCTGCCTCTGAGGGTGGTGGGGGCACCGTCCCCAGGCATGTGTCTCCCCCCCCCTCCACGAGCCCGCTCCCTCTTTGTTCTCCCTAATTAGCATGAAATTACCCAGCATGCTCGTTGCTGCCGACTCCAAACCATGGAGATGGGCGACCAAACCCCCTGACCCCCCCACCTATGGGTGCTGCACTCCCACACCACCCTAATTTGCACCCAGCAGGTCCAACCCCTCCCGGTATGGGGCATCCCCCGTGCCAAATTGTGTTTGCAGGGAAACTGAGGCACGGGGGAAAGGGAAGGCTCACAGACATCCCCCAAACCCTTGGTGACCTGGGACAGGTGAAGGGGTGTTCCTCGGTGCAGGAGCTGGACCCCTGGGGCTGGTGGGTGATTTGGGCACCAACAAGTGGCCTGTCCCTGCCATCCCCCACTCCTCTGCCTCCACAGCCCTCAAAAGGCTGCATATTCAACCCCAAAATTTGGGGTGCCAGGATGGCGCAAGAGGGACCTGTCCACGTCACCTCACTGGGAAACCAGCACCCCAAACCCATGGGTATTTCCCCCCACATCTCCCCATTCCCCAAGATCCCCACTCACCCCCAGCTTCTTGCTCTTCATCCTCACATAGCCCTGCTTGATGATGTCGTTAAAATTGGTCGCCATGGCGATGGCTCGATAGGGTAGGGGATCTTTTGGGAGGGGGGGGCTGCCTTCACCTTCGCCCCCCCCTCTCCATCCTTTTCCTCCGTACCCCTCCTGTCTCACCACCGGCCCAGCTTGGTGCTAGCAGTGTCCCCCATGCTGGCTGGAAAAGAGAAATGACAGATCGACGGGTGACATCTTCCTCGTCCTCCTCCCCCTCCTCCTTGTCGTCCTCCTCCTCCTCCTTCCCCTCCTCCTCCTCCTCTTCCTCCTCCCTTCGCTGCCTGAACCATCCGAGTGGAACAGTCCGGTGTTAACCCGTGCCAGCACGGTGGAGCCAGGGTGGCACAGACAAGTGGTCAGTCCCCTGCCGCCAGCTCCAACATGTGTCCGAGGGGACACCCACACCAGACCTCGCCCACAGGTCTCCATCACCTCTCGCACTCCCCTCCTTCCTCCCAGGCTGCTCGCTTGGGCAGCAACATGGCCCCGGTGGCAGGGACGCTTGGCTTCAGTGGTGACGGCCAGGCCAGTTCTGCTGTGGGCTGTTCCGGCCGGCACCGGGTGCCAGAGGGACCCCGGCTTCCAGCCTCGCACCCCCTGCTGTAACCCAGCCTCTCTCCAGCCCTACCATGAGCTCGGGCTCGCTCAGCCTGGTCCCTGCTGCCTCCCCCAGCCCCGATCGGTGGGACCAGCTGGGGACCAGGTTCCTTTCCCAGATGGAGAAGTCCCAGGCAGAAGGCAGTAACCCAGGAAACAGAACAGCACCCTTCCCGGGGATGCTCCTCCATGTCAGCGACACCCTGGTCCCCAAAGCCCAGCGCCCAGGGGAATCCGACTGGGACAGCATCTTGGGGACCTCCCGCTGTCTCGAGAGAGGCCGGGGACAGCGCTCCCTCTGAGGGGAATATCCTCCCCATTCCCTCATCCCCATCACCCCACGCACGTGAATACCACAAGGGAACTCAGAGATGCTGGGGGGCACCTCCTGCCCCCTATCCCCGACCTGCCACCCCCACACCGGGCGCCCCCCGACCCCTCATCACCCATCACTCCCAGGTCTCCCCACCGGGACGTCTCTCCGGGCGTCGTCACCTCCCGGCCGTTCACCCCCGTCAGCCCAAACCTCGGGCAAGCCCCGTCCGGTGTCACCCCCTCCGCGGGTCCCCGTTCCCCCGCCTTACCCGGCCTCCCGGTGCGAGCGGACCCGCCGGAGCCTCCGCGTCCTGCGAGCCCCGGAGCCGCTGGGCCCCGCCCGCCCCCGCCCCGCCCGGCCCCGCCCCGGTGCCCCCCCTCCACCCCCGGGCCGCCCTGGAAAGAGGTTTCCATCATTAGGCTTCAGAGTGAACGCCCCGCAGCGACTGACGGGCGGCGGCAGCAGCTTCTCGTCTGTCCCCAGCTCAGGTGTCACCTCATCCCCGCTCTGTGCCCCCCAAACTGGTTTCCAAGCCTCTGACTAAAACTGCCCCCAGGCACCCCCACCCCCGCGGCCTCACTTGTTGGGCCATAAAAATATGAATAATCGCTGGAAATAAGAGGGCATTAAAAAACCCCATGAGCAGCAAAGAGCTGCGCTTTTAGCCAATCAATTAAAAGGCAGAGTGAGGGGATTAGCTCACCGAAATATTAATTTTTAATAAGGTTGTGTCTGAGCGCCTCCAAAGCCCCCAAGGCCCTGTGCTGGGGGGCTGGGCTGAAAGGGCTGTGCTGGGGTGATCAGCAGCCGCAGGTGAGCACCTCTGCACCTCCCCAGGGTGAGCACCTCTGGGTGAACACCTTTCACAGCACAGACCCAGGGACAGGCTTTACCCCCACACGGGGCTGGTCTCCAGGCATGGGGACAGCGATGCCAGTGGGTGACATCCAGGCCATGCATGGCTGGTGAAGAAATGCCCATTCTCCCCGATGTGTCCCCTCCCCACCCTCACTCCTTTGGGGAACAGACCAGCAGCTCACACCACCATCAGAGCCTGGGCCCATCTGGGCTCTGTATTTATAATAAAAAATCATATACAAATACATACATATATATAATATATATAAAAAGAAGTGGGCAGTTTGTGGCTGCCAGGCTTGGTGCCTCTCTGCCCGCGCCTCCTCGTCCTGGGCTGCTCAGTGATGCTGGCTTTGGTGGCCACACCAGTGTTCCAGGAGATGCCTGTGGCGAAGGGGCATCCAGTACTGTCCAGGAGGCAGTGGGATTTGGAGCACCCCTGGGCAAATTTCTCCCCACCGCTCCGTGCCTCAGTTTCCCCATCTATACAAGGATCACCGCACAGCTGGGCCCTGTGGCGACAGGCACTTGAATGCAGAGGACTGATGTGGGACATCCTGCGGTGGTGGCACTGGCCCTGGGCTCTAGGGCACCTGTATCTGCAGGTCCTCATCCTCGTCGGGGTCACTGGTGCCGTCCCCAGCGTCGTCGGGGCCGAAGCGGGCGCTGCGCATCTTGCCGAAAAGCGGGGCACTCTGCTGCCGCCGCAGCCTGCGAGGGACAGCTGCTGGGGTGGGGGTGGCAGCATGGCCCTGGGAGGGCCCTGAAGCTGAGCCCACTCCCCTGCACCCCTACAGCATGACTGCACCCCAGAGAGATTCCTTCCTGCAGCCCTCACCAAGCTCTGAGCGCAGGATGAGCCCCCGCAGCCTGGGACCAACACTCCAGCATGGAACTGGGGAGCTGTGGAAGGTGCTCGGCACAAGTGGGGCACACGCTAAACCCCTCCATGGCTGGACATCACTGTGCTGGGCAGCACAGACCCAGACAGGACTACAAGAAGGTAGATGTCATCCCCTGAAACTGAGGAACCCCCAAAAAACCCTGGAATCCCCATTCCCAGGAACATGTGGTGGTTTTAGCTCTTTACTTGCCCTTGCGTGAAAATTTATGAATCAAACTTGAAGTCCGAAGGCCCAGGATCCAGTGAGATCCAACCAGTGCACTACACTTTACTGGAAAGCATGCATTATTTAGGGCTGAGCACACAGGGAGTCGGGGGTGGGGTTGCAATAAATCCTCCATTATGCTTCCATGATTTAATGCAGATGTCCCAATAAAATAAAGGATGATTACAAACACCCCCCCAGCGCCTCCTGGAGCCACGGCATCGATCCCACAGCCATTTCAGCTCTTTACTGCTGGAGAGGCAAAGCAGGGCCAGGGAAAATTTTAAGGGCAAGAAAACTCAGCTCCCACCTCCCCAAACTTGTGTGGGATGCTAGGAGCCTGCCCTGGCCATGGGTACCAGTGGGTGCAACCCTAAGCAGCACAAAACTGGGCTGGTCTCTGGGCAGCCTTGTGCTGGTTTAACTGGGAGGTGAATGCCACCCAGCTCAAAGTGGGGTGAAGACTGCTCAGAGGATGGCTGTGCTCCTTTTGAGGATGTCAGAGGCACTTTGGCCGTGCTTAGCCCAGGATTCAACCAGGCGGATGCTGGTTGAGGGATGGTGACAAGGAGAACATCATCCCATCCTTGCTGGTCCCTAGGTGGCTCACCCAGCCCCTGCTCACCGTGACTGCAGGTGCTCCAGCTGCACCTGGAAGCTCTCGCTCTGCTCCGTCTGCTCATCCAGCGACCGCTGCAGCTTCCGCGTCTGGTTGTGGGCCTCATCCAGCTGTGGGATGGGATGGGATGGGATGGGATGGGATGGGATGGGATGGGATGGGATGGGATGGGATGGGATGGGATGGGTGGTGCTGTTGGCAGCTGTGTAGGGAGCAGAACAGCTCCCTGACCCTCTCCACCAGCATGAGCTTTCCCACCTCATCCTCGGCTTGGGCCAGCTCCTTCTTCAGCTCCTCCACCCTCAGGCGCAGCTTCTTCACCTCTCCCTCGTGCTGCTCCACGCGGCGATTGGCATGGGCCAGCTCGGCCATCTTCTCCTGGTACTGCTTCTTCAGCTTGGTGTGGACGTGCTTCAGGTCGGCCAGCTCCTGTGGTGGGCATGGGGAGGGAGCTGAGCATGGGACAGCCACCCCCACCACTGGGTGCCCCCTCCTCCCTCCCCAGGGACCTCTCCCATTACCCCACCCCATCACCCAGGAGCTGATGGAGCAAGAATGGGGTCACCACCATCCCTCGAAGGGTGGTGGCAAAATTAGGGCTTGAGGGAGTCCTTGGGGAGGCTGAGCCCCACAACAGAGTCACCCAGGGATGTGGTGGTGGGGGACAGCACCACCGCTATGGCACCTTGTTCTTCTCGAAGAGCTCAGCCTGGATGGTTTTGAGGTCAGTGTCCAGGGCACTGGCCGTCTGGCGCCGCTTGCGAGCCAGCACCTCCTCCAGGTCCTCGATCTGCGCCCGCAGCTTCTTGTTCTCCCGCTCCAGGTTGAGCTTCTCCGTCTCCAGCCGCTCCCGCCGGCCCCACTCAGCCGCGTTCTCTGCCTGCAGCCGCTCCATCTGGGACAGGGCAAGGGGTGGCTGGGGGCAGCAGGACCCCCCTCACCGCTCCCTTTGCCCCCCACGCTGGGCTTTGGCCTCACCTCTGCACGCAGTTCAGCCAGTTTCTTGTCCATGCTGGAGCGAGCACCCAGCTCATCCTCCAGGTCCTCAGAGATGCGCCCCAGCTCATCCTGATGAATCTCCTTCAGGATGTTGAGCTGTGGGGGGACATGGCACCAAAGGGGGCTGTGAACACCCACCTTCCACCTGAGCCCTGCCCACACCCATCCACCCAACCTCTACAGAGAGTCCCACTGCATCAGTAGCACTGATGAATGGATGAATGAATGAATGAAGACCCTTAACAAGCGGCCTGGAGTTGGGGAAGTGGCTGTGGGCCACCATGTCCATCAGGATGTGCCATCCTGTGAGGGACAGGCTGTGCCTTGGGGCAGCTCTGTTCCCCAAGCACCTCACTCACCTGCTTCATCACCTCCTGCTTGTTCTTGTTGAGCTCCTCATACTTGATCTTCCACTGGCTGAGCTCACCCTCCAGCTTCTCGATGTTCTTGCTGAGTGCCAGCTTGTCCCTGGGGAGAGGCAATGATAGTGACAGACTGCAGGACCCCACGGGACATGCCATCCCAGTGGGGACCAGGCTGCTATCAGCTGGCACCCTGCAAGGATGATGCTCCAAGCACTCACTCCCGCTCCTTGAGCAGCACTTTTTGGGACTCATCCAGCCTCAGCTTCAGGGCGGTGACTTTGGTGGCATCCTCCTCCACGACACTGACGTCCTCCCAGAGCAGGCGGCTTCGTTCCTGGCGGCTGAAGGAGGCCCGGGGGCCCCGCTGCTCCCAGCTCTCATCCTGCTTGCTTGTCAAGATGTTTTCCATCAGCTCCAGCTCCTGTGGCACCGTGGGTGGCCCAGCACAGGGGACAGGGTGAGAGGGCTTCCCAGCCCCTACAGCACCCAGTCCCCACCCCCTAACCAAGAGCACCTCTCCCTCCATTCCCCAGGGATCCTCTAAGGCTGATGAAATGGACTTGCCCTCCCAGGGGAGCTCCCATACATCACCACACTCTGCTGCCAGCTCTCTGCCATGCTGGAAATTTGGTATAAAAAAATTTAGAACCAATTTATGACACTGATCTCACCCAGATCTGCCACATGTGTGACAGTCCACCAGGCACTCTGACCACACTGTAAATGAGCTGCAGGGGTTTCCAGAGGACAGGATGTCCCTGGGGGCCAAGTGTGGAGCCCGTGGGGGATGCTCACATTAGTCTCCGATTTGTCACTTGGCAGCTGTGCTGTCAGGTGGACTGAAGTGTCACAGCATGGCACCCCAAGCAGCGACTTCTGTCCTGTGACAGAGCCAACAGCAGCAGAGCAGGGATGGCTGGAGCAGCTGGGAGCATTCCTGAGTTTGCCCTGGTGCCTCCTCCTTCCTCCTCCTTCCTTCAGCAGAAACCCCTGCCAGAAGCCTGTATGGACACCCTGACAGTCAAGCTGTGGCTGGGAGATGCCACCAGCACTGCCAATGCCACCATCCCCTCTACTGGCACAGTGATTTTTGCCTAGTGACTCCAAAGGGAAAGCCCCAGGAAAGGGACTGGTGCCAGTGCCAATGTGATCTCACTGCGTGAGGCTATGATGGCTCTGGATCTCCTCATGACACTGCTCTGAGGAATCTGATCCCCTCCAATGCTGTTCCAAGAGGGACCTGACTGCCCTGCACTGCTTCAAGAGGGGTCTGCCCTTCCTATGCTGCTCCTAGAGGGGTCTGAGCCCAAAATCCTGCTTGGAGGGGTCTAACACCCCCCATACTAATCCAAGAGGGATCTGATCACCCTGTACTGCTCTGAAGGGGTATGGCCCTCCCAATCCTGCCCCAAGAACAGTCCCTCCACACTGCCCATCTTTACAGGACAGGCAGTGGTGGTTTGGGGGTGGACATGGGTAGCAGACAAGGATGAGGAGCTCCCCCGTTCCCCTGCCAGCCCTGCTCGCCCGGGGCAGCCCCGCACCCCCACCTTGGCTTTTTGGGGCACCTCAGCCCCCACATCCCGCACAGGCTCTTGCTCAGGGCCGGCGTCCCCCTCCGCTCCGTCAGCGGGTGGGCTGCCGGCGCTGGCCGGTGGCGGTGGCCGCGGCAGGCGCTCGTCCGGGCGGTCGCGGTCGCGGCGGAGGGTGGCCAGCTCCTTGGTGAGGGCCTCCAGCCGGTGCCGCAGCTGCCGCACCTCCTCCCGCGCCCGGTTGCGCTCGGCTCGCACCTTGCTCCACTTCTCACGCCAGTTGGCCGTGCAGTCCGACCACCACCGCATCGTCTTCTCCATCTGCGCCGCCCGCGCCCGCGCCTCCTCCAGCTCCCGCAGCCGCAGCTCCTCCCGCCCTTCCCAGTCCCCTTCCAGCAACGCCGGCGGGGGCCCGGGCGAGGGTGTCCCGCTGGGGGGAGACGGGGAGGGCTCGGGGGCCAGCAGGGCCAGGAGAGAGCCCCCGGGCAGCGGCGGGGAGCCGGCCAGGCGCGAGGCCCCGCTTTGGCTCATGGTGGGGCTCCCCTAGGGCATGGCCCTCTCCGTCCTGCACCCAGGGACCTGCGGGAGACAGAAGGGGTCAGCTGGGGACCACGGTAGGTGCTGGAGGGAAGGGGGGCAGGGGCATGGTCCCTGGTTTTGGGGAGCGGCACACTGAGTGACCAGATCCCTGGGATGGATCCCGGCCAGGTCCCCAGTGAGGACTCTGGCAATGTCCCCAGCCAGGTTCCCAGGAGGCAGCCGAGTGATGGCCCAGGTCAGATGCCCAGTGAAGACACCAGTGAGGGTCCTCAATTAGGACCACAACTCAGAGCCCAGCCATCGGGATCTGGTCTCAGCTCGGCTCTGCAGGCACTTCTGCCAGCGCACCACAACGAAGGGAAAACATCTACATGTTATTGGCATGATGTCATCTGCATCATGTCATCTGATGACATCATCCAAGACCATCCCCGGTGCTGGAGCCGGGGTACTCTGCAGCACCCCAGCAGCTCCATCGAGGGTTACAGCCCGGATCCAGCGCCAGCAAAGCAGGAACAGCTCCGGAAGGAGAGCCGGAGCTGCTGGATTGGCGTGGCGTGGCAGCAGGACGCTTGTTCAGGCAGCTGGATGTGCTCTCCGATGATGCCCCAACAAAGGGCCGGTGCTGAGTGTCTCCATCCCGGCATGGACTTCACATCCACAGTCATAGATCTCACATCCCGTCCTGGATCTCACATCCCGGTGCGGCCAGGCAGGCAAACCGCCCCAGGAAACCTCAATGGGAGGCTGCTGTGCGTCCTAATGGGATAAGTACAGGGTCCAGCCGCGGCTGGCCGCAGCCCCGGCAGGTTTTTGGGACGGTGCAGCCCAGACCTGCTACCAAATCCGGCTGGGCTGGGAGAGCCAGTGCAGGAGCAGCGGGAGCAGAGGCCGATGGCAGTTCTGGGATTTGCATGGGGGAAAGAACGAATTTTTCTGGGGATATTTGCTGAAATGGTGAAGTTTTGCTGAAACTCAGCGGCAAGCCCAGGCCCGTGCTCTCTGGGCTGCTCCTGGAGGAATCCCAGGCGTTGCCAGGACGCGGCACAGGCAGCGCCCACGGGAGCACAGACGGTGCACAGGCACCCACGCAAAACCCACGGGAATACATGCAGAGAACCGGGAACCGTGCAGCGCCCGCGGCGAGCACGCGTGGAGCCCTGGAACACCCACGGGGAGCGCGTGTGGAGCACGAGCATCCATGGGACACCCGCGGGAAGCACGCGTGGCTCACGGACACCCCCGGGAAGCACGCGTGGGTCACCGGCAAGGCCGGATCGCGCCCCCTCCCCGCGGGATCCCGGCGGGGGCGGCCCCATCCGCCCCCCGCGCCCCCGCATTGGCGCCGGGCTCTGTCGCTCACCCGCCGCGGCCCGGGCGGCGGGAGCACCGCATTCCTCCGCTCCGGCGGAATTCCTCCCGGTCCGCCCGGGAGGCACCGCTCGGCCCGGCCCCGCCCGGTTCGCCACGGCCCCGCCCGCCCCGGCGCGGCCCGGCCCGGCCCGGCGCTGCCCCTCTCCCGCCAAAGTTTCTCGCAAGTTTCCCGGTGCTGCCGCCCGCCCAGCCCAGCCCGGCCCGGCCCGGCCCGGAGCCTCACCCGGCGGTGTCGGAGCGGCGGTGCGGGCGGCCCGCGCGGGCCGGGGCGCTGCGGCCGAGTCTCCTCCTCCTCCCCCTCCTCCTCCTCTCCCCGCCGCCGCTCCCGCCCCCCGCCCGCGCCCGGGGGCCGGTCCCGGGCCGCGCTGCGTGTCCTGCCCCGTGGCACGGGGATGGGGGCCGCACGCCCGGGGTCCCGGGGTCCCGGGGGCTGCAGGCAGCAGTGGGGGCTCGGACACGCGTGTGCACGGGCGGGGACCTTGCCCGGGGCTGTTGCCGGGCTGCACACGCGTGTCTGGGGGGACACGGGGCCCCCCGGGTGAGCTGCGGCCGAGCAGCCTCTGCATCCCCACACAAACCCGTGCTGGCTCCCTCCTGGCCAAGCGGCAAAACCCCAAACCACCATTTTGCCCCCGTCTCTTTTACTTTGCTGGATGCCTTTCAGACAAAAAATTGGGAAATACTAGCGGCCAAGAGGATTTGTGTTCCGCGAGACGTGGAATCGATGCCATGGGACGCCAACACCTTTTTCTCCCCCAGGATCGAGCGAAACAGGGAAAACCAAATTAAATTAAAGCAAAGCTGCAAAGCTCGTGCGTGTTCTTTCCAAGATCGGAATTTTTTTCTGCTGGAAACAACCCCAAAAAGCTGGAGGCGAGGGATGCTTTGCTCTCCTACGCCCCTATCCTAGCGTCTTGTGCCAGGGGAACCGGCGCCGTCTCCTGCAGCCGGTGAAGCGATTTTGCAGGCGCTTTGGCCAGAGCTGCGGTGCACGGTTGCGGCTTTAACCCGCTCCCGGCACTAAAACCGGCAAAGTTTTTTCCAAGCATGTCTTTACTGTTTGCTTGGACATACGTGTCTTGGTGACACCAGCAGGCTCGAGGATGCATTGCAGCATCCTGAGGTTTGTGGGGTTTACCCTTACAAAAATCAAACCTCCTTGGTCAGGGGCGCGTCACCTAAAGACGCGGCCAGTGACCCATTTCTGTGGTCCAAGCATCATTGTCCTGGCGCCCTTCTCCTCTAGTTCTGAGTTTCCAGCCTGGCCATGGCCAGCAGGCCCCCTTAGATCTGTTCCCAAGGAGCCCCCATTTGGCTCAGACTGAAGCAGATGTTTGCCCTGTGTCATGAACTGAGCCCTAGAAATGCTGCATGGGTGGCTGCAGGCTCTGGGCAGGCACAGCGTGGCACTGCTGCCCCACAATGAGCTCTGGTGTGGCTGAGCCATCCCTGTTCCCCGCAGCTCTGCACAAGATGAAGCCTTTTGAGGAAAACCTAACCATTTTGTGTAAAAAAAGACGTTTGTTCCCTCAGCTAGGGCAGCTGGCATTGCTGGAGTGCTGTGCTGTGGTGACTGAGGGTGTCATGGAATAAGCTGGCTCCATCCTGGCAATAGCATCTAACTGTGGTATCACAGGATCAGACTGTCTTGAGTTTGAAGGGACACATAAGAAACATCGAGTCCAACTCCCTGCTCATTGCAGGATAACCTGAAAGCAAACCATATGAGTAAGAACATCGTCCAGATGCTCCTTAACTCTGGCAGGCTTGATGCCATGACCTCTTCTCTGGGGAGCCTGTCCCTGTATCTGACCATTTTCTCTGTGAAAAGCCTTTTCCTAATGTCCAAACTAAACTTCCCCTGAAGCAACTTCATTCCATCTCCTGTGTCCCTCTGTTGGTCACCAGAGAGTGGAGATCAGCACGCCGTGCCCCCCAAGAATCCCTGGCACACCGTGGATCCCAGGCACGCTGGGCACAGTGCAGACACAGCAAGGACACCAGGCACAGCCTTCATGCCGGACAGTTTGAGCACCCGGCCACTCTGGGCACAGCACTGGGGCTAAAAACCGAATCTCTGGGCGGTGGGAGCTGCTGCTGCTGCTGGGGGGCTGCAGCTCGGGGTTCCTGGGTGCTGTGTCTCCTGGGGACCTTGGCTGCCCCCCTGCCCGTGGTGTCTCTGGTAGCGACCAGCACTGACCCTCTGTAGAAGCGCCTTTTGATTGTCCGTGCGGGTCTCCTCCGCTGCCGGGGGAGCCGGGCGGCTCTGGCCGGGGTCCAGCGCTGTCCGGACACCCCGGCGAGTGGCTGGTGCAGGTCCCACTAGATGGCACAAGGATCGCATGAATTCCCAGATCGGGAATATGCAGGCGCAGGGACGGCCGGTGGCGATGCGGGACCGCGGCGGTGCCGGTGTGCGGTCCCAAGTGTCCCCCGACAAACGGGAGGGGATTTCTGAGCCCCCTCGAGGAGGAGCTGCCGCTGCGCATCTCACAAGGCACGGTCAAAAGCGGGGGAGTCTCCGCCTGCATCCCCCAAATCCATTTGGTGCCAGTACGGCTGCAAGCTGGCAAGAGTGGCTGTAAGGCTGTGGCATCCCAAAGCCACCCCGACCCCCGCTTCTCACCCACGATCGCACCACACTAGAAGCCCTCCCTCTTGTCCCAAATCCAGCGCAGGGATGGAGGCCACCTGTAGCCCTGGGGCGGCAGGAAAATGGGTGAGCAGAGTTTTGTCTTGGAATCGGGCAGGCGAGTTTGGGTGGAGGAGAGGATGGGAAGTGAGTAAGTGAACTGATACTCGGCTTTCCTCCCGCTCTCACTGAGGAGGGCAGACGCCAAGCAGAGCTCCTGAAGGTGACCAGACACTTTCGGAGCTGAAGCAATCCAGCCTGTGGAAATAAACAGCCAGGGCAAATTGCAGGGATCCATCAGTTGGGAGGAGCGTGTCGATTCTGAGCCCGTAGCGCATCCGCATAAACCGGACTTCACCTGGAAATGTTCCCGGGGTTTTGCCTCTCCTGAAGCCTGAGGTTTTGGAGCTGCACTCTGCCTGTTAGAATGCAGACCAGCATCGCAGCACGGCAAATCTGCCTGTGGTGACATCAGGGTCCCCGGCGGCACCTGCGGGGTGAGCCAGGGAGGTGCCATTAGCTGGTGCTGCCCGTTTCTGGCTCGGTGGCAGGGGACCGAGCACCTCCGGACACGCTGCCCATCTCTGCCGGGTGACGTTTCCCTTTCTGGCTCATTCCCGCTTCTGGACAGCGAAGGAAGCCTCTGGCTGTTCTTTGTTCCATGCACAAAGGGCAGCCAGCGCCGCCGCGTTCTCGTCGGTGCCGCCGGCATCCCGGACAAAGGCCCGGCCCTCCGGGACTCGGTGCCCCCTCCCTGCATCCCGCCGGGCCCCGCCGTGCCCCCGGCTCACATCTCGCCGTGCGGGAATGAGCTGTGCATGGCTCACCGCTCCGGCGGTGACTTCAGCTATTCACTGAGAGGTCTGCGGCTTTGGTGAGGTGCCAAGTTCCCGACTTTCCCCCATGAGAGCCACCGTGGGAGAGCCATATCCCAGCACTTTCCGTGCCCTTTCTCCCTATCTCCAGATTTCGGAGTTTGCGGTGTGAGTCACGTTGGCTGCCGATGCCTGCATACTTCCACCTTGTTCTGGTATCCGGTGCTGTTGGAAAACAATCACGCGGTGGTTGCCTCCTGGCAGCGGGAACACAGCACCCCTGGGTGGTCCCGAGGGAGCTGAGCCTTTTGGGGACTGGTGGGACATGCTGGTTCTTGGGTAGCTGAGCCCACTGCTGGTGTCCAGGGGTCACCCTTTTGCCACCCTGCCACATCAGGAGCAGGGCTGAAGCACTCCCTGAGGCCCCTGGAGACACAGGTTGGGATGGAGCCTCCCACCCCTCCAGTGCCAGGGCCAGCTCCATCCAGTGCCTGGCAGCATGGGCAGGAGGGGCCCATGGTGCCCTCAGGCTTCAGAGCCAGCCTTGGCTTCAGGGGCAAAGCTGTGGAATTATAGCAAATGCTCCAGATTTTGGGGAAACAAGCAGCCAGGAAAGATACTAAATCCATTTGGGAAATTGAAGGTTTGGAGAAGACCTTGGCTCCATTTTGGGATTTGCCTTTGGGACTTGTCTGCTGGGGGGTTGATGAGCCTGGTTACTGCATCCCATGGGAGCATCCTCACATGGTGCTTGTGCAGGTACCCGCAGGAACCAGTTTTCCCCCAGACTTCCCTGACATCACCGGGGGTTTATTTGCAAAGCCGAGCCTAAACAAATAATCCGGGTTTGTTGCTGTGCCTACGGGTTCAGGTTTTACTACCCTGGCACCTGTTGAGTCGCTGTTATCGTTGAGGGAGAAATCCCGACGTGGGGTGGGGTCGACCCACCTCCCCACCGGATGTTTTTCCAGGAGGAAGGCAGAGGGAAGTGGAATGGCAGCAGTGGGGAACACGAGCACCCACAGCCGCTCAAAAGTAGCTGAGGTATTTCCCCAGGATCACCACCCTCCGAGATTCCCAAGGCCGTCCTGGCATTTCTCACCAGATTTGGATGAGAGATCGAGGGGCATCCCCTCCCACCAGCACCCATCTGCTTCCTCATCCTCATCCTCCTCCATCCACCAGAGCTGGGCTGAGCCCTGTTTATGGTGACATTTTGCTGGGGGCACCCAGGAGGCTTTGAGGGGGTCTGGGCAACCTGGCCCTGCTGGGCAGTGGGGCTGGCAGAGCTGGCAGTGGGGCTGGCAGAGCTGGCAGTGGGGCTGGCAGAGCTGGGCAGTGGGGCTGGCAGAGCTGGCAGTGGGGCTGGCAGAGCTGGGCAGTGGGGCTGGCAGCACCGGGCAGTGGGGCTGGCTCAGCCCTCAGCTGCAGACGGCGCCGAGGCTCCCCTGCCCACACTTGTCTCGCTTGTTTGGCAGCAGCCTGGTGCGACGTGCCCTCTCCTGCCGGAGTCTGCCCATCCCATCCCAACACGCCGCCCTGATCTGCCGGTTCCCTCCTGCCCGCCGCCAGCACCAGAGCCTTGAGGAGCTTTTAGGAAGATTTAGGGCTTTTAAAGGATTTTGGAAGTATTAAGTTACTTTTGGAGCTTTTAGGGCTTTCGGGAAATTGGAGGGGTTTTGGGGCTTTTAGGAACTTTGAAAGGGTTTAGAAACTCTTAGGGCTTTTAGCAGTTTTTAGGGCTTTTAGGAACTTCAAGGATATTCAGGAACTTTCAGGGCTTTAGGGGGTTTTAGGGCATTTAGGATGTTGTTGGGTTTT